AAGAATATTCATACCCCAACCCTAAGATGAGATCCTAATGGCAGATGATCAGATCATGACAGGATCATTAGAGGAAAGGAGGGAAGAAAGAGGATAAAAGGAGGGGAATGAAGGAGAAAGGAAGAAAATATTTATTGAGTGCCATTTATCTTTAAATACAGCATTATGTGAGTGGGGCTAAATGCCTGCTGGTCAGGAATTTAGACTACATTAATATAGATCTGAGCTAATTCCTGAAAAGAGGGGTGAGGAAATATAGGGAAAGGCAATTCTATAACCCTCTCCTTTTATGATCCTGACATTATATACATCTGGAAAGGAGACAATAGGGTAACTTATTGTAACTGGTCTCTGTCAAGACTTTAGAAAAGTTAACCAACTACTCTAAGAAATCAACTAATCCCTCATTCAAAAAATGAGGCCATTGGTGTGTGTTGAGTGGGGAAGTGGTCTCTACATTTTCTTCTCATTCTTAAATTATATAATTCAATGACTTTTGTTAAACTATCTATAAAGTCATTCCTCTAAACTCAGTGGTCGGCAAACTCATTAGTCAACAGAGCCAAATATCAACAGTACAATGATTGAAATTTCTTTTGAGAGCCACATTTTTTAAACTTAAACTTCTTCTAATGCCACTTCTTCAAAATAGACTCCCCCAGGCCATGATATTTTGTGGAAGAGCCACACTCAAGGGGCCAAAGAGCCGCATGTGGCTCTCGAGCCGCAGTTTGACCACCACAGCTCTAGCAGATAAACATGCTTTATTTCTTCCATCTTAAAAACAAAAAAAAACAAAAACAAAACAAAAAAACACCTCTTCTTATACTGCTTCTCCCTCTGGGCACTGCCCTATTTCTCTAATTGCCTTTTCAGCAAAATTCCTTGGAAGAGGTATCTTATGATCATATCTTCACCTCGCTCCTCCCATCCTCTTTTGACCACTCCATCACATCACAGAAACTTTACTTGTAAATATCACCAAGGATCTCTAGCAATCAACAGTTGGTTATTCTTTCACCACACTCACCTGGTTTCTGTCACTCCTTTTCAGTCTAATTTTTTGGTTTTCCTCATATCCCCAAACTCTAAATATGGAAGATTCCCCAAACACAGGCCTTGTCCCGCTTGTTTCTCACTCATGCAATGGGTGATTTCATAAGACTATCCATGAGCTTATGACTTGAGACTTCTCTCTTGATGCCATGCATGAAGATTCAAATGCCTACTTGAAAACATTGCTTAGCTATCAAGATGGTATTTCAAACTTAACATGAAAAAGTCCCCACCTCTAACTTTCTCTTTAAGTCTTTCCAGTCCCATTAAATGGCAATCCTCTCCTTCCAGCTACTCAAGTTATAGCTTGGGAGTCACTTTTGAGTCCCTTCTTTCTCTCACACACTACATCTCACCCATCAGCAAATTCTATCAGCTATTCCTTCAAAATATAATCAGGGGCCCAGCCATTTCTTTCCACATCTACTGCTACCATCATCTCCTACTTGAATTATTTCAATTGCCTCTTACAACAGTCAAAAATCTATGTTGGAAACAGATGGCATATCCAAGTGGAATAGCTGAGAATTTAATAAAGATGGACAAGATTGAGGGAAACTAACAAATGATGGTCAAGTGTCCTGTGTCTAGAAGGCAGAGTGTGCCAATGGAGTCATTACTATCCTTAGACCTAAGGGAGCAAGGAATAGTAGTAATTACCTGAACAACAACAGCAACAACAACACACACACACACACACACACACACACACACACCAGGAATTGCATTCTTCAGTGACAACCACCAGAAAGAAAAATGGAGAAACGAAGACCATGAACTCACACTCCTCCTGCCTTCTGATCTTCAGGTCGCAGACAAAACGAACCCCAAGGCACAAACCAGAGAGATCACTAAGGCCAGTCTCCTAGCTCCACAGGCTCATCTGGGACACAGAACAGAATGGAAATCCAAAGAGAAGGGAACTGGAAGAGAAAACAGGATACCTGACAAAATGTTATTGTCTGCAAAACAGAAATAGATATCACTGTCGCCGAGTGAACTGAAATCATCAATTCGTAAAGCATTTAGCACAATGGCCGACACGGTTTTTAGGGAATACCAACTCTTACTTGCCTAGCATCGCATTTCCAAGTGTAGATTTTTATGGAGAGATGACTTCCAAACTTCAGATCATGATCAATCAGGGGCTGTGAATTTAATGGGTTCCTCAGCATTTTTTTTTTTTTATGAAGTAAGAAAAAATGTTGTCTCAAAAACATTACTTTCAATTAAATTCCACTTAAATACATGTAAACTTAATGTGTAACTTATATGGGTATATGTGTGTGTGTGTTTATGAGTATGTTCAAGTATATATTCATTCTCTGAGTCATTATGTAACATACATTTCTTATAAATAATCATGATCAAAAACTACTTGAAAGCCACAATGAAAGAACACTCTGGCTATGCCTTCTTGCTTCTCATTTATTCCTCCCCAAGAAGTGACTTACTTACCTGATTGACAAATGTGAGAGGAAAATTGAGCAGATGTGGTTGGTTCCTTTCTCTTGTGCCTACTAGTCCCCTGTTTTGTGGGAAAGGAAGGGAAGACCAGATTTACATGGTGTCATGAGAATTGGAAAGGCCTCTGCACAATCATCTGAATTCTGACTTCCCTCCTCATAACAATAGCCACACACTGAGGTACAATTATGTTCAGGACACACTTTTATGTAATCTCTATCCTCACAAACATTCAGCAAGGTAGTCATCATTGCCCTTGTTTTACAAATGAGAAAAGTCAGCGTTAAAAATAACTTGTCTGGCTCACACAACCAGTAAGTGACACAGCCAGGTTGAACCTCTAGTTTGATTTGCCTCCAAAAAAGAGAGCTATCTCCATTTAATGTGCCCCCTGCATTGCCCACCCCAGGCTTCTTGAGGCTGGGCTTCTGTATGGTAATCTGTTCCTCAAGCACGCTGCATGCCATAGTTTGTACCTACAAAAAAAAAAAAGTGTAATACATAATAATTTTTTTTTTAGAAAGCCAATTTGGTCCAAGGTCTTATGCATCACTTATTTCTTTGTGGTTGTTGGGTAAAAGTTAGATAAATGAGAGGCAAGAAAGGAAGATGTACACTGAACTCTAATGTCTTAAAGCTGAATCATTTGTTGACAGTAAATTACATTTACAAAAATCTAAGGATTGAAAAAGCTCTTAGAGATACAAATGCAGAATCTTTTTACAGATGAGTAAAACAAGCCAATATATTTGCATATTTGTCAAATAACCAACCCACTCATCAAAGCAGAATTTCATTGCAGTGTAAACAGATTTCTAATACTTTGGGAAGCAACTCCAAAGTTGTTTTGCTCATCCAAAGATTGCATTGTAAAACTTCCATTGTTTTTCTCTTCTCAAGCATTTATGTAGGGATATATGAAACTAACATCGTGTTTTTTATTTTAGGAGAGGGAGAGAGCTGTGAATAGAAATTGTAAGTAGCATTTTTTTAGTTGTGGGATTTTGATATCCCATAATCAGAATATTAGCTGTCGTTGAAGGAATAATCCCATTGCACAAAATAAAACCCCAAACATTGACACAAGGTTTTGTCAAGTCGCACACTTAATACAAAATTTTAATAAAAGAATGAGAATTTGCACATGGCTCACCAAGTCTGCAAGTTCTGAATTGCAATCCGTTTTTTCCCTCTGAATAAATCATTTTTAGTGATGAAAAAATGAAATAAAATAAAATAAAATCCAGCAACCCCTGAAACACCCTTTGGCTTTCTGGAACAGCTTACAGTTTGCTATTCGGGGTTACTACCTATTCATTTGGCATCATGATGACATGTTTAGAGATAACATTGTTCTTGACAATTATAAACAAAATAAATGGCATAATCTCACTTATATGTGGAATCTAATGAACAAAATAGGTCCAGAGACATGGACATATGGAAGAGACAGAACGATCTCAGAGGGGAGGAGGTACAAGGGAAGGGAAGAGATTACCCAAAGAACTTCCACGGTATGTATATGAGCATGGCCCACGGACATAGACAATAGTGCGGTGAAGGAGGATGCAGGGAGGCGGGGGAAGCAGGATGGAAGGGGGCAAGGGGAGGAAATGGGGACATCTGTAATACTCTTAACAATAAAAATAACTTTAAAAAATAGCTGAATGTAGAATCTAATGAAAAAAATATGATAAATAAAATAGAACTAGAGACATAGAAGCATGGGACAAACTGAGGAATTTCAGAGGGAAGGCGAGGTGAGGGGGAGAGAGGGGAGTGATTAACCAGAGAATTTATATGCATATTTGCATAACCCTTGGACACAGACCATAGAATGGAGAAGGCCTGGGAGGGGCGGGGACGAGGTGGAGGAGGGGCGGGGGGGGGGGTCAATGGAAAAAAATACAAACACGAAGGGGACATCTGTAATACTTTCAACAGTAAATATAAAAAAAATTCTGGCCGAAACCGGTTTGGCTCAGTGGTAGAGCGCCGGCCTGCGGACTGAAGGGTCCCGGGTTCGATTCCTGTCACGGGCATGTACATTGGTTGCAGGCACATCCTCAGTAGGGGCTGTGCAGGAGGCAGCTGATGGAAGTTTCTCATCGATGTTTCTAACTCTCTATCTCTCTCTCTTCCTCTCTATAAAAAAAAAAAAAAAATCAATAAAATATTTAAGAAAAAAAAGTCTGATAAATAATAAAAAATAAAAGTAATGCAATAAGGAAACAAACCAAAACAAAAATTCAGAGTACAGCTGCACAGCATTTCCTCAGGCTCCTCCATGCCGTTATCTTCCAGAGGGAATCCCCAAACGCCCCAAACGACCCGGGCCAGAGAGCAAACCCCCAAACTCCAAGAGGCCCCGCCCCTGAGCCCAGGGAGGCGGGCCCTCCCAGCCACCCACCAATCGGAAGCCGCGTTCCCCGCCTGCCCCCTGCTGAGCCACCGTGCCTGCCGCCCGCGGTCACTTTCACGACAGTTTCCGGCCCGGGTTGCGGTACCGCTGCCGAGGGCTCCGGCTGCCCGCGTGAGGACCTTTGGTCCCCGCCGGCGGCGCCCTTGCTGTCCGGGGGCGGCGGGGAGCGGGTGGCCGCGGCCTTCGGGGCTGGGATGAGCCGCGCTCTCGGCGGAGACAGGGGAGTCGAGCCGGAGCCATGGTGAGTGCGGCCCGGCGGGTCCCGGGCGGCCCCGGGCCTGACCTCAGCCTCAGCCCGCGGCCGGGAGAGGAGCCGCGCGCGGGGCGTCTGTCCCTCGTGTGGCCGCGGGCCGGGGTGGGCCCCGGAGGGTCACTGTCCGGGGTGCAGAGCTGGGCTCGCCCCGCCGGAGCCTGGGCCCCTCCGCGGCCCGCCGCCTTTCCACCCCCGCTCCGGCGGAGACGCATTGGATCCTTCTCTTCCCCCCCAACACGTCCTCCCGGGACTCGCTCCGCTCCGCTCTGTCCCCTGGGCCTGGCGGACCCCTGCGCCTCGCTCTGGTCCGCAGCCGGGGATGCGGTGGGGGGCAAAGCGAGGATCCTAGTGGAAGCGCCTTTTGAGAAATTGACAGGAACCACCCGTAGACAATTTCTCAGCCGGCAGCTTTGTTTTCCTTTTGCTTTGAGCTTGAATGTAACTTCATGGGCTCTGAGGGGAGAGAGGTTTTCAAAGCGAGGGAAATCATCCTTTTTTATTTATTAAAAAAAAAAAATATTTATTTATTTATTTTTACAGAGAGGAAGAGAGAGGGATAGAGAGTTAGAAACATCGATGAGAGAGAAACATCGACCAGCTGCCTCCTGTATACCCCCTACCAGGGCTGTGCCCGCAACCAAGGCACATGCCCTTGACCGGAATCGAACCTGGGACCCTTCAGCCAGCAGGCCGATGCTCTATCCACTGAGCCAAACCGGTTTTGGCTCCTTTTTTTATTTTTATTTTTTTCCTAACATGGCGACATTTCGCAATGCCTTGGATGTAAGAGTAGTGGTTTTAAAGGGTTATTGGGCTATTTTCCCCCTAAAAGGTGCGTTTCTCCCGTTGAAGCAAAGCTTGTCAAGAGTTGGGATGGGCTGAAACCGGCTTAGCCGAAACCGGTTTGGCTTAGTGGATAGAGCCTTGGCCTGTGGACTGAAAGGTCCCAGGTTCGATTCCGGTCAAGAGCATGTACCTTGGTTGCGGGCACACCCCCAGTAGGGGGTGTGCAAGAGGCAGCTGATCAATGATTCTCTCTCACTGATGTTTCTAACTCTCTATCCCTCTCTCTTCCTCCCTGTAAAAAATCAATAAAATATATTTAAAAAAAAAAAAAGTTGGGATGGGAGTATGGGTGTGATATAGGGAATGGTGGGAATGAGAAAAGTATAGGGATATAGGGAAGGTGTGACATAGGGAAGGGTGGGAATGAGAGAAGTAAAATATTTGCTCTGCTTCCCCTCACCAGGCCAGTACAGTGGTCGCAGTTGGATTGACCATTGCTGCTGCAGGATTTGCAGGTTGGTTTGTGGTTTGGGGATGGACGTGACGTAGGGGAGGTTGAGGACTTTCTAATTATTCTGTTGCTTTTGTTTTTAGGCCGTTATGTTTTGCAAGCCATGAAGCATATGGAGCCTCAAGTAAAACAAGTTTTTCAAAGTCTACCAAAATCTGTAAGACTTCCCAAACATTTTTGCTGATTCTTTGCTGCTTGTAGATAAAAACTAGAATTGCATTTAAAGAGGGTACATTTCCAGATATCTATGACGTTTTAAGTGATTACTTTGGGGGCCCCTCTTTTGCTTTCTACGAGGAGAGTTTAGAAGTTCTGAACTTTGTAGGTGCTACCCCCCCTCCTGCCGCCCCCCCCCCCCCCCAAAGTCAAATTTTGTGTGTAGCAGAATTGAGACCGAGGTGTTAACAATTCTGGCATCATGGAAGTTAGTGTCACTTTATGGTTGGCACACTATTAACTTCAGCATTGTCTGTCCACATTCCCTCTGCCCCCTTGCATCACACACTCAGGAATACAGGGCTCTGAAGGTTGACCCATTTTTACTGTGCGGTCCTGGCACTCCCTAACAAACTTGGGAAGCACTGCAGTTTACTAGACTAAGATGACTAGATGGGATGTAACAATCGTACCTTCTGTGGGCACAGATAGAATGAATGTGGCTGTGACAGCTTGCTGAGCATCATGATTGAAAAGAGGATGATGGTAGGCTTTACAAATATTTCTTCTATAACAAGGTCAGAAGTCCTAATAGCCTGATTTTTCTCCATATATATATATATATATATCATAATCTGAACCACTTGTCTTAAAGATCTCTAAATCCCCTTGAGGGACTTGTTCCACAACATAGTCATACTATGAGATGAAATTTTTATGTAGAACATGGCTAACTTTTGGAATCTTCCCTTCACTCCCAGAAAAAAACTTTGACTTTTTTGTCTTCTATTTTCAAGACAGGTTAGGTTGTATAGAAAGAAAAAAAAAAAAAAAAGGATATTTAATGATCATTAAAATATTTGTTGCTACTTATAAAGCTAAAATACAAGTTAACAGAAATGTGGAAATGTCTTAGTTTTCCTGCTAATTCTATGGACATTTACAGACATTTTTTTTAGCAACTCTCAGTTTATTCTAATTATCTTTTCTTATTAATGCATTTCCTCTTCAGGCCTTCAGTGGTGGCTATTACAGAGGTGGGTTTGAACCCAAAATGACAAAACGAGAAGCAGCATTAATATTAGGTGTAAGGTAAAATAACTTATAATAATTTATATATTTTCTACAACTCTAGAGCTATTAGTAATGTAAGAAATACCTTCCTTCATTAGGAAGGAATTATTTGTATCATGTCTATTTTAACATCTAAACACTCCCTACTAAATTCCAGTGAGAAGGCACACTGGCACATAAGCATTTTTTAATTCATTGAAAAATAAATGTGCAACAGATAACAATACTCAGTGTTTTCCTCTATAAGTTTTTATGGGGGAATTCTGCCTTCATTCCCACATACTTAAATATTCTTTCCAATAAAAGGACTGTTGAAAAAAATATCATCAAGCTCTGTTAAATTTTTAAGAATTCTAATTTTCCTAAGGAACTCTTTACTTCCGATTCAAAATATTCATCTTGTGAGATAGGGAAGAGGTTCCTAAACAGAGTTTCACACTGTTGTGTTGACTTATTCCTGTTTTGTATCTTTACCAGTATTTGCCCTTTATAGTATGTACAATTTTTTGTGACCCATAAGTAGTCTGAAATAATACCTTTTCTTTTCTAAATTAGCCCTACTGCCAATAAAGGAAAAATAAGAGATGCTCACCGACGTATTATGCTGTTAAATCACCCAGACAAGGGTAAGTAGTCATTAAACTCTTCATATGCATGTTGTAGTGACTTTGTAATTATTATTAATGGGATAATTTATATCTAATTCTTGTCTTATAATGAAGTGCCTAAATCTGTGTGTGAGCACTGTTCCAGGCTGGATCCATTTGTCTTAAAATAATAAATTCTGAGTGAAAAATTTACTTATACATGATGAGTAGATATCTAATAATTACCGTATTTTTCGGACCATAAGACGCACTTTTTTCCCCCCAGAAGTGGGGGGAAAAAGTCCCTGCGTCTTATGGTCCAAATATAGCCTACACATATACTTTAAAAAAAAGTGTGGTCTCTGTGAGCTTGCCCGGCTCTAAAATGGTTCTAAATGCTGCTGTTTACTTTACAGGGTTGATTACATGTGTTTATGACTGTGATGTTGGGTTTTAATGCACATAAAATATTTTAGGACACTATTTGTTTCAGAATCTTTTTTTCTTCATTTCCCTTCTCTAAAAACTGGTGCGTCTTATGGTCCGGAGCGTCTTATGGTCCGAAAAATACGGTACTAGAATTTGGAAGTAGTGATAAGCATTAACAATGTTTTGAGGATCTGCAATTGTGATAAAATTTGATTCCTAATAGTCAAATTCTCCTGGGGTTTGGATTACATTCTTAAAGGAAATTTCAATTAATGAAACCAAAGGTATAATTTTTTAAAATTCTTTAGATCTTTGAACTTGAGATTACATAGTTAGAAACCTATAGAATATATTTATCAGTCTCTGATACACTTCTAAGAAGGTTTAGCTATTATATGTTGAAGTAATTCCTTGGAATGCCAAAATATAGACCATAAAATCTACATTATAGTGCTCAACTCCTTTCATAAGGAGAAGACTTTCTTTAAGAGGGCTTTGAGTTAAAACACAGTTGCAATTTTTTGGTATCTGACTGCAAAGCCTCTTTTATGAAATTTAGTTTGTATTAACTGGAGGGCTTCTGACTATAGTCTAGGGTGAAGCCCATAAGTTCACATTTCTACCAGTCTCCTTATTGATGCTGATGCCTGTTGGTCTAAGGACCACACTTTGAGAATCACTGCTCCAGCAGATGAGTAGGAAAAAGATTGTGTATAACATTGTAAAGGGACAGTAACAGGAAAAGAAAAAATATGAAGGGCAAAAAAAGAAGGATCTAAAGCAAAGTGAGCCCTTTCCAACAAAGCTCAGAAGCCTCTGAGAATACCAAGGTTTTAAAATAAGAGTATAATAAATTTCTGTTCATTTATGACTTGTAATCATCAGTATTGGTAGGTAACTTACATTATTTCAAAGTTATGTAAGTCTATATAGGTTTTGTGAAATTCTGTTCATCAGTTTAAATGTCTTTAAAAGGTGCTGTTTTTGTGAAATCTCACTACCCATTGGTCAAATATAGTCCCATATATGTGGTTATCCAGTCGCAGTATCATAATTATTTTTTGGAATACTATTTCTGCTAATTGCATCTCTCAGATAAAGCATAGGGATCCTTGAAACAAGAATAGCTTTTCATCAAACAGAAACTGAGACCCCATTTTTTTTTTTCCCCTATAGGAGGATCTCCTTACATAGCAGCCAAAATCAATGAAGCTAAAGATTTACTAGACGGTCAAGCTAAAAAATGAAGTAAATGTATGGTGAATTTTAAGTTGTTAGTCACTTATATAAAAACAGCTTTTTGTAATAAAATGTCCCAAAGCTACACATTTTAAAAAATGATTTAGCACAAACTAAGTCAAAGCCTTGGTATAAGTTTCATATTTAAATTTGAAGGTTCTAAATCAAATTATAGAATATTTGGAAATTAATGTTCAATAATATGGACACATACCATTTGAATAGAAGTAGTGTTCTGTCATTAATCATTTAGTAAATAATTTGCTATTTACTTCAAGGCAAAGTGAACATGAAAGTCTGCTCTCAAGGAACCCCAATCTGATGAGACCTATACACTAGTAATTAAAATGCAATATGGTCCATATTATGATGGAATTAATGCAGGTTGTTATAGTAGTTAGGAGGAAAGACTGTCAAGGTACAGAGAGCTGGTTCAGTTGCTTAAGACCGTGAATTTAAAAGTAAGTCTAGCCACAACCCTGACTTTAAAAAATTTTTGTTATGTATCAGTATATCACAGGCAGAATTCAGATTTCATACATTAAAATCTTGATAAAAGAGGAGTATGTTGTTTCTAATAAAAAAAAAATTTACAGTGTATTCAGCTAGCGTCTTTAAGCTGACCATTTGTAAAAATAATTTTTATATAATCAGGTTTTGCATTTGTTGTAAACAAGTTTAAACACGATTAGCTGAACAGATGTCCTGATATCAAAATACTTGAACTCTGAGAATTTATACAGTGATATATTTAAACCAAAGGCCTGGTGCATGAAATTTTTGCACTGGTGGTGTCTCTCAGCCCGGCCTGTGCCCTCTCAGTCTGGGACTCCTCGCTCCTTACCTCCCACCTGCATAGGAGGCGGGAGAGGCTCCTGCCACCTCTGTTGAGCTTGGTGAGCCATGAGCCTGGCTTGTGGCTGAGTGGCACCACCCCTGTGGGAACACACTGACCACTGGGGGCAGCTCTTGAATTGAGCATCTGCCACATGGTAGTCTGCACATCATAGCAACCAATCTTTCTGGTTGTTCCTCCCATAATGGTCATTTAGGCTTTTATTATATAGACTAAAGGCCCGATGCATGAAATTCATGCATTGGGAAAGGGGTTGCCCCTCGGCCCAGCCTGCACCTTCTACAATCTGGGACCCCTTGGGGGATGTCTTACTACCAGTTAGGGCCCAATTCCATAGGGATCAGGACTAAATCAGCATCCCTCTCACAATCTGGGACTGCTGGTTCATAACTGTTCACCTGTCTACCTGCCTGATTGCCTATAACCGCTTCTGCTTGTAAGCCTGATTACCCAACCACTCCCCTGCAGGGCTGATTGACACCTAACTGCTCCCCTGTTGGCCTGATTGCCCCCAACTGCCCTCCCCTGCTGGCCTATTAGTCCTCAACTGCCCTCCCCTGCCTGCCTGATAACTCCTAACTACCCTCCCCTGCCAGCCTGATCTTGCCGGCAATTTGGTTCCTATTGGTTGGTTTCTATGCCAGTGTCAAAAGTTTTGCCTCCTATGCAGCCATTGGCTCCTCATAGTTGACCCAGATTTGGTTCTGATTGGTTGGTTTCTATGCCAGACAGCATCTCTGGGCCTATCAATAGGGCCTGATCAGAAAAGTGGGGCTGATTGGCAGCCCTGGTGGGGGCCTGGAGAGAAATGGAGGCACAGCTGCTGACCAGGCCCGGAGCTAGAGAGGGGGAGGCAAGTACTGATCAACAGCTGCCACAGAGGCTACGGGTCAGAACCTGCTTCTCTCTTAAGGCCTTTCTCTGATTTGCAGCCCCCTCAGCAGTCAGTGCTGGGTCACTGTACCTACAGCCATAGCAGTCGTGAGCTTACAGTTGGTCTAACCTCCTGGTTGTGGATGTGATGGACCTTGGAGGGGAGGGGGAGGAGTAGGGGGGGTCCCCTCAGCCCTGCCTGCACTCTGAGACCCCTCGGGGGATGACCAACTGCCTCAATTGGCAGTCTGACATCCCTCTTGCAATCCAGAACTGCTGGCTCCTAACAGCTTGCCTGCCTGCATGCCTGATGCTCCTAACTGCCTCGGGCCCTACAACTGGGACCCAGGCTTCTCGCCCTCTGGCTGGCCGCAGGCACTCAGAACCCAGGGGCCTCCCTGCCTCAGGACTAGGACTCTGGGCAGGCTCCCGCACCAGGCAGGGGCCAGCCCCGACTTTATCTGAAAGGACATCCTTTCTAGTCTAATTAGAATATTACCCTTTTATTAGTATAAATGACATTTGAGGGCAAATGGCTATTGGTCTAACATATGTAATGTTAACTAAAGGACTTACATAAAACACCCAAGGGAAATAGCTAGCCTGTGGTCTCTGGCAGTACTTATGTTTAGCTTTTTAAGATGATAACGTATGCTACCTACCATCTGAATTTTATTAAGACATCTTAAAGTTCTTAATGGAGATAAACTTTCAAGGTCAAAATAATGGAGGCAATATTTAGTGTTGTGTTTAGAGGAATTTCAAAGTTGAGGTATATCTGCTTTTGGTTTATTTTCCATCTTGTTTAAAATCTAATCAAGGATTTGTTATTTCTTAAGAGTATAGTAAGGCAGCCATGGCTTTTGTGTAGGATCTTTTGTTACTCCCAGAGGGAACTGGTATGAGGTACAGTTGATTTGTTATTCATAGTTATGTTCTAGAAAGTCACTAAAAATAATGAAACATTGTTCCTAGTAAGCCTCTGGTCACATTCTAGTCAACCAGTTAATATAATATAAAACCTTGTTTTATGTGTGTTTGTTTAAAGACACCTTATGTGATTTATTGTTGATTCCTTAACTCTCAGCCAGTACCACTAATGAAGGTACATCAGTTTTCTTGCGTTGGGAACATTAGACAGCACTTCCCTAAGCTTGGGTGTCATCTTAAACAGGGAAATCACCAATAAAAAAAGCACAAAGATTGAAAAAAATTAGGCACTAAATCACTAAAAGGATACTTGTTTACAGTATGGAAAAACGGCATTTTTTTTGTACATCAGGTGTTTCAAAATTTTCACCACTCTGTGTTCACAAATGACCAGGAAAGCACATCAAAAGTTGATTTGGGGGTAACAAATTTTAGTGAGCACCAAGAGCTTTAAAGAAAGGAGCATCAATTAAAATTAAAACGCAATTTTTTAAAAGACAAGTGTAATAATATGCCAACAGGCAATCAAGCATGAACTGTAAAAAGGTAAACTTCATATAGTAGGTAGGCCTTTTGAGTAAATAGCATACTTGATTTAAGACAAGTATTAAGACAGTAGGAACCACTTTAATACTAAGCACAGCAGCATATTTTTCTTTCATATCAGCTTTATTTCCTCTACTTACCTTTATCAACTAGAAGAACTCATATTTCACTGAAGGCTATTAGGCAAACCTCTACCTTTTTTCTTGGGGGAAAAGTGTCATCTATGTAGGGCCCTAGATCAGCGGTCACCAACCAGTGGTCTATGGACCAGTAGTGGTCCATGAGGTCCAAAGGCTGGCAGCCGCTGCTTTAAGGAAACCCTTGGAGCAGCATCACCAACCAGTGGTCCACAGACCGAAGTCCAGGAGGTTGGCGGCTGCTGCTCTAGATTATAATGGGTAAACTGATGGAAGTATGATCTGTATCATTTTAATGTTTTTGTGTTTTTTTTTTTTACAAAAATTTTATGTGCAATGTTAACATTAGCTACTTACAATGAGCCAGCATTTTCCCAGTAAAGATCCTCACTTAAAGTCCTCAAGAAGTTCCCCAACTTTTAAGTGAAATAATATATAACAAAACCAATTTTACTATAGGCTATTGATATAAACAAGAGTTGAGTTCCTGTCGCATCTTAGCACTGTAACATTAAACGAAACATTAAGAACCTACTGTACTTAGTACATTTTAGAAGGAAAGTGAAGTTTAGTGACGTTAAGTAACTTGCCCCAAGCAACATGCTGAGTAAAAACGCTGATTTTTCTCAAGGTCCCATGCTGTTAAACCTCAGCAGAGTGCTACCTTTCACAAATCTGATAACCCAAATGTTTTTCTTGTTAGTGGAGAGTCCGGTACTTGTCATTACATATCTAGGCTGGGGCCTTTTTGTAAGATGGTATTAAGGGGAGGAATAGTTGAGTACAACACTAACAGAATAAGAGGTGTAGGGTTTGAGTCAAACTTCTGCAATAATAGGCAGGTAACTTTGAGCAAGCCATCTGTGTGCTTAGGGCTCTGCTTCCTCATCTGTTGAGGAAAAAGAATAATGGCCAACTTTAAAAGTATGAGGATCCCTCCACATTTTATGGATAGGGAAAAAGCCAGAGCCAAATATTTGAGGTAACACATCTAGCAAAGCTGTAATTAAGCCCTGGATATCTTATTTTGTTAATTAGTAATTTGGTTCTCAATAGATATTTTAGCCTTCATTGGGCCTCTGCATTGACATTAGATGGCCCCTACATTACACTTTACAAAAACTGAAAGTGGGCTATAATGAAGTGGTCCTCAAATATAAATCTTTCCCACTCTTAGAATTTCAAGCAAATTTTTTGCCTTCAAGTATTTTCCAAATAATGGGTACCTACAAAAGCATTAAATAAGAAAAAGTTTAGTTATTCCAGAAGACTCAAACCATTCAACGAACAGTTGAGAACTTACATGAAAATACTTGTATTCCACTTATTTCCATGTATTATTTAGAATGCTAGTTTTTTTAGTTATATAAAAATCCCTGAATTGAAGGTAGCCTTGGGTACCAGGAAACTTAAATGATTATAAGCTGCTCTGTGTTGTTGACACTGTTCAGAGTGCTGTGTATCTGCTTGGAGCCAACTGTTGCCTTAGCAATAGCATACAGGAAGGAAGAGCTTCTATTCTGTGTTGTTATTCCTTACTCAATGAAGACATAGTCTGGTGATAAGGTATAATCTGGAACATGTTAACACTTCCTGTTATTTTAGTGGTGTCAATTAATGGAATTTCAAATAATACTTATGTGACATTTTTCTTAACCTGAAAACAA